AATACGTCAAAGAACTTTTGAAAAAGTACAACCTTGAAACAGCAAAGATAAACCACACACCCATGGGCACAAATACTAGACTAGATGAAGATCCCTTGGGAATTTGTGTGGATCAAACAAAATACAGAGGTATGATTGGTTCCCTATTATATTTAACCGCGAGTAGGCCTAACATTTCCTTTAGTGTTGGTCTTTGTGCTAGGTTCCAATCTAATCCAAAGGAATCACATCTCATTGCCGGCAAAAGAAATCTAAGATATCTAAAAGGGACGGATGACTTGAGTTTATTCTACCCACGAAGTGATACATTTGACCTTTATGGATTTGCTGATGTTGATTATGGTGGGGATTTGGTAAATCGCAAGAGTACATCATGTATGGTTCAATTCTTAGGCTCTAGTCTAGTTTCTTGGAGTTCCAAGAAACAAAATACTGTTGCTCTATCCACAGTCGAAGCAGAATATGTAGTTGCTGCTGCATGCCGCTCACAGCTGTTGTGGATAAAACAACAGCTGCGTGACTTTGGCATAGTTTTAGAATGTGTTCCAATTTACTGTGATAACACTAGTGCAATTTGTATTTCAAAGGATCCAGTACATCATTCACGTGTAAAACACATTCATGTAAGGCATCACTTTCTTAAGGACAATGTAGAAAGGGCTTAATAAGATTAGACTTTGTTCAAACTGACTATCAAATTGCTGACATTCTTAACTAAGCCCCTGAGTAGAGATAAATTTGAGAAGATGCGATTGGAACTCGGAATGATACGACTTAATTGAATTTTTTCTCCATCCAACCCCAACGTACGTTATTTTAAAATGATTGAGCACAACTATATGTAACCTTGGTGTGAAAAACATAATCTTGAATCATGCAATGTGAAAGTGTGCAAATATATTTTGTGTGTGATCATATGTTATATCAATGGATGAGAAAAATTGAGCCATGTTGTTTTCAAGTTCCTTTGCAATTATTACAAGCCTCTGTATCTACTGAAAACTACCTCACGTAATTTTCTTAAAAGTTATTTTTATGTTTATTTTCTTCTCTTCTTATCTTTATCGTTATTTTTTCTTTCTTCCTATTCACAAATACAAAAATATTTGTTCTTATCTTATGTATCCCTTTTTCTTTATCTTATTTTCATCTTAATTATCTCTTTTCCTTCTAAATTTTTATCCTTTATTTATTGAAAAAATAAAAATCTACCCACTAACCTCAAACCGTCATTACTAGCCCATTAACCCACCTTCATCATTATACCTATTCTCCATAAAACACTCCACAATCCCTAAAATCACTCCACCATCTGCAAATTGTCACTTTACTGGATGCTTCAATTATCTTCTTCTTAGCTAATACAATTCAAATTAATTTCCCTGCATTAATGATCGTCCACCTTGATCACTGTGTTCCCAATAAACCATACCAGACGACCCCTTACTTTCTGTCGTATTTCAGAGTTTTGGAATTAGTCTTGCAACTGCCCATTATATATCTCTGAAACCTGAAAATACTTTAAGTGCAAGGGTACTGTTTAAATTGAATCACAAAGTAGAAAATGGTGTAACAATTTTTGTTGAAAAACCGAGGGAACAAACTCAGGGGGAATCAATTGTTGAAGAAGATGAGGCCGAGAGTGAGGCTGATCTTCTGAGGGGGAAGATGAGTTAGAAGAGAAAGTGGAGGGTGTATCTGAAGAAAAAAAAATATAGAGGAGGAAAAGAGGGAAAAAGATATGAGGGAGACTGAGGAACAAAAGGACTTGGGTGACACCTATTCTACTAAGAAAAAGACACAATTCACGTCTTGCTTCCAAGGAAGTCAACCCACCCAAGTCCCTAGTCCACATAAACTTAAATCTGACTTAGAGGACATAAATCCCGATGAAGTTCCTAACCACCATGTTCCTTTTTCAAAAGAAACTTCCCCAAGTTCCTTATCCTAACCCACCTCGTTCCTCTCCATTTGGCTTTGCTGCATTTAGTGGATATCTGCCCCTGCCCAAGCCTAAATAACCTACCTTATTTTGCAATCTATGTTGAACGATGATTTTATTTTGACATTTCTAGCCTACCTTGAACATTTTTATTTGGTTTTGTAATATGGAACTTGTTTAGGGGTTTTTAATGTGCCCTACGGGAGAGTTACAATTTCCTAGTATGCTCCTTCCTTAGCATGTACCTACACAAATAACGGAATACTCCGGCTGGGGCTGGGGTGTTCCGCCTCCGAAGATTAAGTTAGTCTCTTTCTTAATGAGGAAATAAGACAATAAATGCTTCTCGATTTGAGAGCGTTTGCAAGGGGATTTGTGTTTTGTTGGTTTGTGGAAAAATGATTCGATCCCCATTAATGAGGTATGCCCTTATAGTAGGGGAGAGTTGTACCTCAATTAGGGTACAATGACACGTGTCGCAAAGGGATTGGGCCTTTGTTGATCGTTGCAAGCTTAACACGTGGCAAGCCTTTATAGGGCCACGTGTCTTAGGGTATTTTTACCCTAAACATCTGCCCCTCACAGGTATGACGTGGCATGTCCACGTGTCACCTGTGACAAGTGTCAGACGCATGGGAGGCGACGGTTCGTCTTCTTCCCTCCTTTTTTCAAATTTCAAGTTTTTACGGCAGAAGGCATCGTTTTGCCTTCTGCTCCTTCTCTATAAATGAGAGACACTCTCTCTCTCCTCCACACTTGCATAATTTTTCAAAAAAAATTCTGAGAGAGAGCTCTGATACCGGCTGCATAATTTCCTAAGTATCCTTGCATCCGGCATTTTCAAGTCAAGCACATCCGCCAACTGGTTGGGTGTTCTTTCTCCAATCTCTAAGGTACCGGCTGTCCTTTTCTTTTTACTTTCGTTTTTGAGGATTTTGAAAGTTTAACCCCATCCGGGTTGCCTGCCGCATGGGGGGCTTTTAACCCATATCCCAATGCTGAATTCTCTCCCTCAGCCGGCATAGCTCTGTCTGAGGGGTCTTCAACTTTTAAGAACTATGCATTCTAAACACCCCCATCCGGTTAAACGCCGTCTGGGGGGGTCTTTGATCCATTCCCAAATAATCTTATCCTTTAACACCGCCTGGGGTATTCCTGAGCTTTTATCAAGACATGATTTCAAAAATCCCAACCGGTTTTAAAGCCGGTTGGGTCATCATCCTTGCCTCTTTCAGGACTTTTCAAATTTTAAGATGCATTCAATGCACCCCCATCCGGTTACTCACCGTCTAGGTATTTGCTCTGCCAAGTGATGATTTCAAAAACCCCAACCGGTTTCAAGGCCGGCTGGGTCACCATCCTTGTCTTTCCGAGACCTTTTCAATTTTGAAGATGCGTTCAATGCACCCCCATCCGGTGACTCACCGTCTGGGTATTGTTTGAACATGCCTTTTTGAAACAGATCCTTCTATATCCTCATCCGGTATTATATCGTTTGAGGTATTTGTTGACCCTAGATGCTGATGCAGCACCTACATCCGGCATCTTTACCGGATGGGGTATCTCTGACTCAACTTTCCTGATGCCGTCTGGGGTGTCATGGAGTGAGCCTCAATTCTTTTTACTACTTTGCCAATTCCTATCACAACTCCCCCGCCATCCGGTGTTATACCGTTTGGGGGTACTTCTATCCTAGCTCACTGAATACCGTCTGGGGTATTATTCAGTGAACTGTACAATTAATCTAGCTAAGTTTTACAATAATGCAAATCATAACCCCCCATCCGGTCTTAAACCGTCTGGGGTACTTCTGACCCAGCTCACTGAATACCGTCTGGGGTATCATAGAGAGCTTTACAATATTCTAGCTAGTCAGTACAAAAATGCAAGTCATAATCCCCCATCCGGTCTTTTTACCGTCTGGGGTACTTCTGACCCAGCTCACTGAATACCGTCTGGGGTATCATTGAGCGAGTTAATGAATAAACGGCTAAATATTTACTTTGTCTTTTTCAGCTTTAAACATTTTCGCGGAGTTTCCCGTCTGAGGTGACTTCAAGCCAACTCACTTTCTCATTTCAAAGGTACCGCCTGCATCCCATACTTGTCACTTTCTTTTATTTCTGGTTGCATAGTATTAGGATATGGACTCCACCAATGCACACACGGCACAACCTACGACTGTGGTTAGCCGGTCACCAGGAACGGCTGAGTCTAGGACTGGGATTGCCGTCTGGGGTGCTTGGAACAACCTTCACCTACATCGAATCCGACCGTCTCTGTTCATGTGCACGAAAGAATGGCTCGGATCAGAGTGACGGCAATCGACCCTGACTACCAGTCCTATGATGCAGCCGCTGATCCGGCTGACCCTATAAATCAAGAACAAGCCGAGGAACCGGCTGAGGTGGGTCCTAATGAGGAAGTTCCGCAAAATTCTCCGAATCCTAGCACACCAGGTGACAGTATCTTGGATAGATCTGGTTCCAACGCTGAGGAATCCGGAGAGGGATCCGCCGGTAATGAATCCGGAGAGGGATCAGCCGGTAATGAGGAGTCCGGCTCTGATGAGGAGTCTCCTGGAACGGCTGCCCCTATAGACGAAGAAGCCTATAAGTGGCCGGCTGCTGGCGACCTTACCGACATGACCATGTCCGCCGGGGATGTGGTTACTCTAAATGCAACATTACCTGCTTTCTTGGAGAAGAAACCGGTAGGGAAGGATTGGGAAGTGGTTGTCCCGCCTGTTGAGGCAAGCGTCGTTTGGACCAACGACGTGGACAATGCCGACAACTATTTCGGCTGCTATGAGGCAGCGTTCACAGCCGGCCTCCGTTTCCCCCTTCACCACTGCATTAAAGCCATATTAAGGGGGTATGATTTGGGCGTATGACAGTTGACCCCTAACTCATGGGTCAACATACTTGGATACATTGCCGCCTGCGAGATGCAGGATGTCAAACCAAGCTGAGAAGCCTTTGCGCACATGCATTATCTCAGCAGGGCGCCGGGTGGGTGGAACGCATGGTATACTCTGACCACGCACCCGGAATATATGATGACATTGGACAAACCGTCCAAATGGAGTAGCTGGAAGAGCAAATTTTATGTTGTCTCTTCTCCATCTCCTCAACTTAATCGCTGGCTGCGTAGATACAATAAACACCCAGCTTTTCTTGGTAGGAAGTGTGCTCTGCCTACAGTGCCAAGCGAGGCATGGGATAAAATCATGCAGAAGGGCCTCTTCAAAAAGACAACCTCCCGCCTGGATGATGGGAGTGAGATAATAGTTCCTCAGTTCTGGGTGCCCCACCCGGACTGGTTCAAGGATGAGGCATTTCTCTCCGCCTGCAACCTTAGCACCATGTTTCCTAAGAGTAGGTTTTTACTTATCACCGGCCCTAGCCGCCTGATATTGGTATGTTGTACTGCATATTAACCATTCTTTTGTTTTTGCAGAAGTTGCGACGGAGAAGTTACCAAAAGAAAAGACACCGGCTACCTCAGCCGCTCTGCTCCGGAAGGAGCAAATTGAAAAAAAGAAGTCGCAGCTGGCGGCTAAAGACGACGGGGTAACATTTTTTTCCTCTTTTTCACCGGTTGTAGCATCTGTATACTGTGTTGACATTAACCGGTTGGTTTTGTATATTTGCAGGCTGGGAACAAGGGTGTTCCTCGCTCTCTGTCTAAGATGGTCAAAAGACCGGCGGGGGACATTCCTCTGCCTGCTGCTAAGGTATTGAAGATGCCGGTTCCTCCGTCGGCTAAGACTATTCCAAAACCGCCTGCAGGAGGCAGGCCCACCACTGGAGGCAAAAGCCTTAGTGGAATTGTTCCCACCATTGAAGTGGTGGATGAGGGTGTGAAGGAGTCGGTGACTCTGGCTGGCCAGACTCAAACGGGTACTGGCTCAAACGCGGCTGGGGGTGATTCTACCCCACAATCCGACAAAGGTATGACTTTAGCCTTTGATCCCCCCTGGCCGCTTGGGCCTATGCGAGTAAAGACCCAAGCTTGCCAATCCGGGGATTCTTCTGGCAGCCGTCAGAATATTGGCGAGGCGTATGCTCAACACCTGATAGATAAATCTCTAATTGCAGATGCTACCTCCAGCCGGCCCAACTATCAACAGTATGCCAAGAGGATGATCCGGACCCTTACCCGGACCGAGAAAGAGGCTGTGCCGGCTGTGCATACAGTCAACATTGACCGGATCACTTCTCTCCTGGCTGAAGTAATTTTTACCAGATGCATCACCTTCTTGTAATTTCTTTGTTTTACCGTTTCAGTTGTTTTGAAAATGATTCTAACAGTCCTCCAGGCTGATATCACAGGTGATGCTGAGAGTTGATGGGCTTCAGGTCCCCTTGCGCAAGAAGCAAGAGGAGGTAAGGGATGCCCAGAGACGGGCATCTGAGCTCATTGATGTTTCCCAATACAATGCCATTAGATATGACCTGGAAACTAAACGGCGAGAGTTGGAACAGGAGGAATTGCTGAAGCAAACTATTGCGGCTGCTGAGGCAAAAAAAGCGAGGGCGGATGGGCTAGCTCTAAAGGTCAACGATCTTCAAGCCGATCTCAAGGCTTTAGAAGGAGCTGACAAGGAAAACGCCGACCTTCGCGCTGACATCAACCGGCTTAAAAATGAACTTGCTTCTAGTCAGGCGGCTCATAAAGAAAAGCTTAAAAAAGAACAAAGCCGCCTGATTGCTGAGAACGAGACCGATAATGTGGAGCGCGTGAAGCTCGCCTGGGGGCTCATACACCCAGATTATGACTACGAGTTCTTCGACCTTAGGTACAAGTATGCCTCAGAGGTATATGATGCCGAGGTCCTTGGACTGGACCCGCCTGCTCCCTTCGAGGAATGGGCAGGTTTGGTCAAAGAAGAGCAACAAGAGGGTGAGCAGGCGACGCAGACTCAACAGCAGGCTCAGGAGCAGGTGCAGGAGCAGCAACAGCCGGAGCAGCAGCCAGAGCAACAACAGCAGCAGGAGCATCAATGATTTTTTCTCTTCTTTTTATTATAACTTCTTTTACCGGCCTGCGTGCCGTGTGTATCAATGTACTTTTCCCGGACAAGGGTCCGGTTTAACATTTAAAATCCTAATCTACTGGCCGACGCAGTCGGTTTTGCTATTTTATATCCTCTCTATTGCATTTTTTTTATATGCATTTTTACAAGTCATTACAATTTCTTTACTACTCATCCGGGTAACATGATCAGCTGTTTTATTTTCGCCGGATGAAGTAACGATACTATGATATGCCCCTGAAATGGCTAACTGTTTACTCCAACGGTAGACAGGCAGCTGTTTCATAGGCAGCTGGATGGATGATCAATGGTTGATCTATTCCTGCCCCAGCTGGTAAACATGCAGCCGTTTAATTGGCAGCCGGATGGGTGATCAATGATTGATCTACTCCTGCCCCGACTGGTACAATAAAATGCCCCTGAAATGGCCAACTGTTTACTCCAACGGTAAACAGGCAGCCGTTTCATTGGCAGCCGGATGGGTGATCAATGATTGATCTACTCCTGCCCCGGCTGGTACAATAAACTGACGTATGGGTTGTAAAACCGTTTGGGTGGCTTTTAGATAATACCCGGTTGCAGTAACCCACCAGGAATTTCATTTTGCCGGATCGACCACTTTTGGGTCCTTGCCGGGTGAATCCTAGATGCGAAGGATCATTTCTAACGGCTGTAAGTTTCTTTTAAGAAAATGTCGTTTGAGTTATTGGATCGCTAGAACAATGTACCACCCGGAAGGGAGCTGTTCTCTTCAACGATTTCACACGGATGGGTGTCGCCGGATAACTGCTCTTTTTGGAGCAGTGGTTTTTAACAAGTGTTCTTCCGTCTGTGATCTTGCACTAGACAGGTGCTAATACAATTGCATGAATGGAAATTATATGCTTTCACATTTCAATACTATTTACAAAAAATTACAAAATCCTTAGGAGTAGTACTTTTTCAAGTTATCTACATTCCAGGTACGAGGCAGCCACATACCGTCTAGGGTTTCCAAGCGGTATGTGCCGTTTCTAACTTCTTCAAAAATCCGGTAGGGTCCTTCCCAGTTTGGGGTCAGTTTCCCTTGTTCGTTCGCCCTACCGGTTGCCTCAAGCTTTCGTAACACAAAATCTCCAACTTTGAGGGGGCGTTTACGCACCCTTTTGTTGTAGGCCCTCGTCATACACAGACGGTAGATTTCATGACGCAAGGTGGCATTGCCCCTTCTTTCAGGAAGAGTATCCAGAGCCAGGCGCATGGCTTCCTAATTTGCCTCTTCATCATATAACATGATTCGAAGTGTTGGCTCATACAATTCAATGGGAAGCACTGCCTCTGTGCCATATGCCATAAGAAATGGAGTTTCACCGGTTGACCCCTTCTCAGTAGTTCTGATAGACCGCCTGCCTTTTCAATCTTTTTCTTTATGCCGCCTGAGATGAGGTTGTTAAAAGCTTCAACTTGACCGTTTGCTTGAGGACGGCCAACGGATGCAAAGTAATGGGAAATCCCTTGATCTTGCAACCAAGTCTTTAGGAAAGGCGTTTCGAACTGGGGGCCATTGTCAAAGACCATTGACTTTGGTACACCGAACCGGGTGATGACATTTCTCTAGATGAAGGAGATGACATCCTTAGTTTTGATGCCCTTTACCGCCTCGGCCTCAACCCACTTGGTGAAGTAATCAACAGCCACTAAAATGTATCTTTTGCCGCCTGGGGCAGGAGTGTATGGCCCCAAAATATCCATGCCCCATTTGGCAAAGGGAATAGGGCTGTGAATAGCTGTCAAATCAGTGGTCGGCTGTCTGATCAACCGGCCAAACTTCTGGCACTTGTTACATCTTTTTACCAGGTCTAATGCATCTGCCTCGAGGGTGGGCCAAAAAAATCCTTGCCGCCTGGCTCTCTTGGCAAGTGTCTTTCCGCCAATGTGCAATCCACAGAAACCGGCATGCAGATCTTCCAGTATTTTCTTTCCCCTTTCTGGGGTAACACATTTGAATAGCGGCTGCAAGTAACCCTTCCGGAAGAGTTCACCTTTGTGCATTACAAAGCTTAATGCTCGTCTTTTAAGAGCAGCCGCCTCTGATGAGGCACCCGGTAGGGTGCCGTCTACCAGGATATCCCGGATGGGGTCCATCCAAGTGGAGCTTCGATCTAGAACTCCAATGGGGTCATGTTCAATGCTTTTCTTTTCCATGACTTCCCAGAAGACTAACCTAGGCATATCACATGTGGCGGATGATGCCAGTTTTGATAGTGCATCCGCCTGATTAGTCTCGGACCTGGGTACTTGACTTGGATTGAATTCATCAAACGCCCCAGCCTCCTCTTTGACCGCCTGAAGATACTTAATCATCACCGGATGGGTGGCCTCATAGTCACCGTTGTACTGGCTAACGATGAGTTGAGAATCAGAACAGGCGTCAACTTTCCTTGCCCTGATTGCCTTACACATGCGGATACCGGCTAGCAGGGCCTCGTATTCAGCTTCATTATTCGAAGCTTGGAATTTGAATTGTAGAGCATATTCGTATTTGTCCCCCTCTGGAGAATGACAAATTACGCCTGCCCCACAACCATTCAACGTAGAGCTCCCGTCTACATAAACTTTCCAAACTTGATCAGTTTTATCCGGCTGTATCGGCCTTGTCATTTCAACAATGAAGTCGGCAAATGCTTGACCCTTCACTGCCCGCCTAGGTTCGAAAGTGATTTCTAGACATTGAATTTCCACAGCCCATTTAATCATTCTTCCGGATGACTCTAAAGTGGTCATAAGCCTTTTGAGCGGCTGGTCAGTATAGACGGTAACCGGATGAGCAAGGAAATAAGGTTTCAACCGCTTGACTGCCTTGAACAAAGCCAGACCGAATTTTTTGATCATGGGATAGCAAAGTTCTGCATTCCGGAGGACGTGGCTTATAAAGTAGACCGGGAGCTGGTTGCCGTCTCTCTCAGCAAGGAGAACGGCACTCAAGGAATGATCTGAGACGGCAAAGTACATGTAGAGAGCCTCCTGGGGTAGGGGACTCACTAGTCTTGGCAAAGAATGCAAGTGTTGCTTCAGCCTTTGAAATGCCGCCTCAGCCTCTTCACCCCATTCAAACCTCGACCTCTTTTTTTTGCTTGAAAGAAATACAGGCACTTGTCACCTGACCGGCTGAGGAATCTCCCCAATGCCGCCAGGCAACCGGTCAGCTTTTGAGCCTCCCAGACGGTACGAGGCGACTGCATGTCAATCACCGCCTGTACTTTGTCCGGATTGGCCTCTATGCCTCTCTAATCAATCAAAAATCCGAGAAACTTCCCAGACTCAACTCCAAAGACGCATTTTTTCGGGTTTAACATGACTTTATGCCGCCTGAGGGTGGTGAAGGTTTCTCGGAGGTCGGCTAGATGATCCGCCTGTAGCTTTGACTTGACTATCATGTCATCGATGTACGCCTCCACATTCCTTCCAATCTGATCATAAAAGACCGAGTTAATCATTCGTTGGAAAGTGGCAGGCGCATTCTTCAACCCAAACGGCATCACCGTGTAGCAGTATAGCCCTTGATCTGTGACGAAAGTCGTCTTCCCTTGGTCTTTCTTCCACAAGGGTATCTGATGGAAGCCGGAGTAGGCATCCATGAAACTCATCAGGGCATGGCCGGCTGTAGAGTCTACTAAATGATCTATCTTTGGAAGCGGGTAGTTATCTTTTGGACAAGCTCTGTTCAAGTCCGTGTAATCTACACACATCCGCCAGGTTCCATTCGGCTTTTTCACATGGACAACATTGGCTACCCAATCCGGGTAGTAACATTGCCGGATGAACCCAGCATCTAAGAGTTTCTTGACCTCGGTTGCTGCCGCCTGGGACCTTTCCTCGCCATGGTTCCTTTTCTTTTTCCTAACCGGCTTCTTCTTAGGATCCACAGCGAGTTTATGAACAGCAAGATCCGGACTTACACCCGGCATCTCTTCTACTTCAAAGGCAAACACATCTTTGAACTCCTTCAGCAAAAGGAGCAAATCAGGTCCCAAGCTTTCAAAAGCAACCGTTCCAATCTTGACGGTTCTGTCTGGCCGGCTGTCTTCAAGGATAATGTCAATTATTTCTCCAGCCGGCTGGGGGCGAAGGATGTCTGGCCTCTCCCCTGACAGTGATTGCTATTGTTTCTCCTTCATAGGCGCCAGTTGGTCCGCCTTCCTCTTTTTACCGACTGGCTTAGTAGCCGGTAAGCTTTGATCACAGTCGTCAAGTTCAACTATTTCTTTCTCTTGACCGTCTGTGTCAAGCGTTGGTTTGATGTCCGAGAGGTAACACTCTCTCGCCATCTTTTGGTCCCCACTCAAGGAACCGACTGTGCCATCATCCCTCTCAAACTTGATCAACATTAGGGATGGGATGATGACTGCTTTTGAGATGTTAAGGGTTGGGCGGCCAATAATCAAGTTGTAGGCAGTCAGCTCTCCTACAACAAGAAACTTGACAACCATGTGCCGGCCCTTTCCCTTTTCTCCGAACCGGATGGGTAGATCAATCACGCCCACCGGATGTACTACTCCTCCCCCAAAGCCAACAAGAGGGTATGAGGCCGGATGCATGCTACTGGGCTTGTACTTGAGTTTTTCCAAGCACCGGTAGCTTATGAGGTCAAATGAGCTCCCGGTATCAATCAAGACCCGGCCAACTCTTTGATTGGCGATTTTGCACTCGATGACTATGGGGTCATCATGAGGCCGCCTGACCTCTCCTCTATCTTTCTCGGAGATGTTAACCTCCGGAAATGAATATGCAGACGACTGGCCCTCATCCACTAAGTTGACCAGTTTCCGAATGTTATCCTTGGTGCCCCGGATGGTAGGCCCACCTCCCGCAAATCCACCGGCTATGGTCAGGATGGTTTCCTAATCCGTATCCGATTGAGTAGCCGGCTTCTTTGGGAGTGGTCCTTTTACTTGTTTGGGAGCACCCTTTGACTTGGATAGGTATGAATTG